ATTTAATGGCCTAGGATCCGCGTACTCCCTCCCTCTTTGATAGCATCATACATTTCATTCGCTTCTCTGATTCGATATATATCTGAAAAATCATTAATAAAGTTTCGTCCATTCGATCAGAAATCATGTGACTTGAAATCAATCTAACTTTGATAATCAGTTTTGGCTGAATAAAGACGCGACATAATCCGTGCTAGTAACACACAATGTCAACAAACAATTCTCAGTCTTTACTTACGTACGAGATCAAAAAACAACTTAATTACCCAAGTTAGTGATATCATAATCAAACTTTCGTCTTTCACTAGCAAACGTTAATGTGTATTTTTCCCATTAGAGTACTGGGAGAGAGATCCTGCACTATGGGGAAGCGTAACGGATTGGGATCTTCATTTTATCAATGAAATGCCCGGCTCGACATGCTTTGAAGCACGTAGAACACTGGCGAATGAACTCAAAATACTTCTTAATCACCTTGCTGAAAGTAGTCGTGGATGGTGCAAGGCAAAAGCGATCAAGAAACAGCTAAAGGTCTGTTTTATACTTTGTTATGTTGAAATTGCGTAAGCCGTACCCTGCGATCTCTGTCGATTGACGGGCATTCCTCTGCTTGCCTGAAGTGGGTAGCATGTTATGGTCTGGTCCTAATGGTCCCACTATGACATGTGTGGTTGCGCAATCAACTTTTTCGCAAAGTCGTACCCTGCGATCTCTGTCGATTGACGGGCATTCCTCTACTTGCCTGAAGTGGTTAGCATGTTATGGTCTGGACGTAAAGGACCCACTATGACATGTGTGACTGCGCAATCAATTTTGATATTTATCATCTACTATATTTAACATTTACTTACAGTCTTCCTTTTTGAACTTTTGTAGCTACAAAACTCCAATAATACTATTACCTCAACGATTTGGAAGGAGCATCAAGAAGCAATACTACGGGTTACAGTTGAAAATAAGATCAATAAAAATATTAATAAGGTATTCTGCCCTACTTAGTTCTGAATTAATTTACTGTCTATCTTTCCTCTTATACATTGTAATTATTAGCGTAAAATCGAAGATGTAGCGAGGAATGCTACAAGTGCAATAGCAAAAATTTGTTACGCACCGAGTGGTTACGAGATCACAAAATGTCCCCGAATAGATTACAAAAACTTAGATCATATTGTCTATGATGGTAACGATGAGGAGAATATAGACCTTCTGGAGCAATCGATCAGCGAAACATCATCTATGCAATCGACCAGTGCTTACAAAAACTTAGATCATAATGTCGATGACGGTAACGATGAGAAGAATATAGACCTTCTGAAGCAATCGACCAGCGAAACATTACCTATGCAATCAGCCAATGAAACATCATCTATCGAAGATTACCTAAAATTTTTCGAAGAAGCGTACTTGAAATTAGATCCTAATCATATGTGGTTGTTGAAAAGTTTTCGTAAAGTGGAAGAAGTTATTTATCAATTCGCCAGAAATCTTCCCGAAGAGTCATATTTACACTCATTCATTATCAATGACATCGATGTGGCCACAAAATCACTATTTTCGGATGAGGAGTGGAATGAAATCACCACCTCAGTGGCTAAGGATAAACCAAAACTTAAGGATTCTCTTGTAAACCTACTGAAAAAATACATAGTTGATGATGTTGAGAGACTACGTGATGTTCTTTTCGAACCTTTTATACCAGATGGACGCAAATATGATCGAAAATATCACTTTGATCTTGATTTTATTAATGGTGCTTATCGGGGAATTTTACGTTTGTGGGAAATGGAAGAAAACCCTATCATTGACTCTTTATTAGAAGGCTGGTATGAAGTAAATATGTGGGGTCGAGTAATTGACCCAGCTTTTGACAATCTCAATATTGATTTAGTGCGTGGTGAGGGTATGAGTCATGCATCAAGTGATAGAAAAAATCTTACCAGAGTAAAAAATGATCGAAAGAAGCTCGGTCGAAAAGGCGATGGAATATTCAGATTACGCAAGGATCGTTTAGAATTTGGTGCTATAGAAGCGGGTCATAAATGGGAAGGGAAGAGTGGAACAAAACATATGACAGATTCGTTAAAAATATGTAAAATGTTAAAAGATATGTTAAACCAGCTTTCTATTAAGTGTGATATGAAAGAAGATCTTGTGAGGAAATTACAAGTAGTCGGAATACTTAATGGAGCAAACAGAATTCAGGTCATGACAGTTGATCTTCCTAAGGGATATATTACTCGTATTCAACGCAGAAAGGTCTATGAAATTGCTGGTCGTCTATCAAAATCTAAACCGCTTGCTTTTGTTCTAAAAGAAATACTACGTGCGAAATCTATCATCATGCAGACACTCGATATAATAAACAAGAAAGATGATGTTGATCCCGAAAATTTTCTCGATGATTCTGATGCTGATGATCAAGATGGATATCACACAC